TTGCCCAGGCCCTTTCTTTCCCACTGTCTCTCCCTAGCATCATTTGAGGGAAAGGTGGTGGTGGTGGGGGGCTCTGCTGGTCTGTGAAGGTTCGTCCCTCGCCTTGTAGGCAAGAATAAAGAGCAGGACCCGGGTGAGAGTGGCCAAATTCAGCAAACACCCCACCACCCCCCGATCCTCCCTGTGCCCCTTGTCCTCTGGGCTCACCCCGCTGGGCCCTGCCGCTTCCCCCCCTCCCTAAAGCAGAGTGCTGAGGGGCTGGGACAGCATCGGTGGTCGCAGCACCCCCGCCCCGGCGGGGAGCACCGGGGGAGCCCCCCCCCCCCCCATCTCTGAAGGTCACGTCGGGGCGGCCGCCGCCCGTCAGCGCCGCACCGGGTTCTGGGGCAAGCCGCCGCCGCCACCGCCGCCGGCCGGTAGTCGCCCCCCGGGCTCCCCGCGCCGGGTGGTGGTGCAGGCGTCCACCGGCGAGCTGCTGCGCTGCTTGGGGGACTTCGTGTGCCGCCGCTGCTACCGGCTGAAGGAGCTGAGCCCCGGCGAGCTCATCTCCTGGTTCCGCAGCGTGGACCGCTCGCTGCTGCTGCAGGGCTGGCAGGACCAGGGCTTCATCACCCCGGCCAACCTGGTCTTCGTCTACCTGCTGTGCCGGGAAGCGCTGCGGGGAGAAGACATCGGGAGCCAGGCCGAGCTGCAGGCCGCCTTCCTCACCTGCCTCTATCTCGCCTACTCCTACATGGGCAACGAGATCTCCTACCCGCTCAAGCCCTTCCTGGTGGAGGGCGACAAGGGGCGCTTCTGGGAGCGCTGCCTGGGCATCATCCAGCGCCTCAGCGCCAAGATGCTGCGAATCAACGCGGACCCGCACTACTTCACGCAACTCTTCCAGGACCTCAAGAGCGAGGGCGAGGGCGGAGACGGGTCCAAGCACTGGACGATCAGCCTGGATCGCTAGGGAGGTACCGAGACCCCCCCCCGGCGCCGGGGGCGGAAGGGGCCGCGCACCGAGGGGCGGGGGAGGCGAAGGACTGCCTGATCCCCCCCACCCCGCTCCCCCCGCATCCTCCTCGCCTTCTCCCCTCCACGGAGACGCTGCCTGGACCCTCCATGCTCCGGATCCGGCCGCTCTCCCCCTTCCCCTTCCGACCCCAGCTGGGGGCTGCGCTCCGGGACACCGAGACGGCGGAGAAGACCAGGGCGGGTGGGGTGGGGGGGTGCGTGTGTGTGGTGTGTCCCCTCCCTCCACCCCCAACCCCCCCGCGCGATGAG